GCCTCCGTCTCTCGGATCTCGTGTTGTGAGCAGCTCCCAGCTGGGGACTACCTGGTAGGAGCTACAAAGCAGCCTGTGGTTTTTCGCTGCCTGTGCTAACCCTGGAGGTGCATGGGAGAGGCCACGCTGAAAACTGAGGACGTCTGCCACCAGCACAGGGCCTGGAGTAGCTCTGCAAGAAGCCAGGACACCCCAGGCCTGCTGCCACCTGCTGGCTCCCTTAAGGTTCAGCCACTGATAACGCCTCGTGTGGCATGCAAGTTGGGTGAGGCGGAGGCTCAGGGAGTCGCTAGAGTGGGAAGAGCTGTGGTCACCAGGTTAATGTAGATTCTGATTTGGTGCCAGTGCTGAGCCTAAATCTACTCAGCAAAAGTCTCAGAGCACACCGAGGCCAGTTGCTGCCCGCCTGGGTCCCATGGACTCCAATCGTTTGCCTAAAAAGAATGAATGCGATTCGGGCGGCACTGGCTGATCCCTGGCATTGGGGGAATTGGGTGGGGGGGTCCCAGTGGGTCAGCAGGGCAGAGCTGCGGAGCTCACCAGGCCAATCAGATTCCGATTTGGCCGTAAGCGTAGGGGGCGGGCTCAACACATTCAAGATGGCAGCTGCCCGCCGCCTGCACGGGAGAAGGAACTCACCCAGGGAAAATGGTGAGACTGTCCTCCAGTCCTTGCCACAAAGCCACACACCTCAGTCTGTCTCCCCCCACCCCCCGCGTGCCTCTGACTCCCCCCGAGTCACCATCCCTCCGCCGGAGCCCAAGGTGAGTGCCTGCAAATGAATGAGTCTGTGCGTGGGCTGTTTAAGAGGACGTCTGGGTTTCCTGCCACTTTATGTCCCACCCAGATCCCTACTGTTGTTCACGGTCAGATATTGTGGGGGCTCCTCTTCCCGGCACCAGTACTCCAGGCTGGGGAGGCCGGTGGGGGCTGGTGGCCCTGCTCCTCTGGGGGCCACCTCTGCAGGAAGATATCCTTCCCAATTTGTATCCGCCACACGGATACAAACTGTATCCACCCAGTTTATATCTCCATCCCTCCTATCAACCTCAACGTGGCTCCTTTTTTACATTTTTAGATATAGGACTTCTGTTTGGCTAGACTTTAGATGGCTCTCGAGGTTGGTTGTTCTATAATTTAGTTGTAATTTGAATGTGTTCACGGAAGGACACAGGCCCAGGGTTTATCTACTCCACCATCTTGGGTTTCTCTGAGAATTGACCTAATAAGTTATTTTTAGAAGTACTTAAGTAAATGGTTCAGACCTCCAAGAAACCAAAATTCATTAGAAAGGTTTTCTAACTAACCAACATTCGTTTTCTATTTAATTAAATAAGTGGACAACTTGTGCCGTTTTCTCCACCATCCATTTTTAAAGTTCCTTCCTTTAATGCTTCAGAAACTGCCCCCATGCCCTCCCCATACAGTGGGTGGGGGAACTTATTTGCAGCTGCTGCAATGCCCCCAGGCCTGACACATGGGCAGGCTCCCAGACCACCGCCTGCGCCCCCTCTTTCTCCCACATGTCCAGGGAGGTGCTTGAGAACAGCCTGCTGTGCAAAGCCCCTGCTTCTGCCTCTGGCTGCACGCTCACCGCCCCGGGTGGTGCCAGGCTCTGCGGCTGGGGGGCGAGGCTCTGTCTGACTGTCCTGGAAAGTGCCTGCCCTGCAACCTTAGCTCTGACCGACTCGTGAGAAACGGTGATTGTGCAGGTTTCCACTCTCGCTGCTGTGAGGGGCTGACAGTGCATTTCCCTGTGCCTCCTTCTGACCACAGAGCTGTGAGCTAATAAGTGGGCAGCAGGTTAAGCCGCTGAGTCTGGCAGTTGGTCGCACAACAACAGAAAACATTACAGAAATCAATGTGAATTCATATGTCATTTTTATTACACAAGAAACACACTGTCCTTGTACAAATTTAAACTCGGTGGCTGCTCCTCTCCCCAGAGGTCACCACTATCTTCCATTGACGGCGACTTCTTCCAGGTCTTTTTTTGAGAGGCCAAAGGCCTGCCTGCCGTGCCGCCTTGGCCAGGTGCTGGCTGCAGCTGGCGATGGGCTGCGTGAGTTCACACATGAAAGGAGCTCACTGGCACACGACACTGTGGACACAAACAAGATATGGGGCGATGTTTGGTCCTGTGCTTGTGAGTGGCCGACTGCAGGTGAGTTCAGCGGTTGCACCGCCTCCATGTCGCGCTATTTTAACGTCAGTGTTTTCCAGTAGCCCCTGGCTTTTGGTAATGAGAGAGCTTAAGTTAGAGCTGCTTACAAAGTCGGGCTGTGATCTCCACCAGCTGTGGGGTGCAGGGCCTGGCATGAATGCCATCTGTGCCCCTAAGGGGCTCACGTGCAGCCTTTACAAGGGAAGGGACCTTTCAGAGGCTGGGGCGGCACAAATGGGGCATGTGAAGTGCAGAATGTGCCAGGCGAGATGGCTTTACCTGGAGAGGTCAGGTAGAAAACATGGGGGTTCCAGGCGGCACCAACTCGAAATTCCCCTCCCCACAAGGTTGGGTTTGGGTCGGCCCCAGCAGGCATTTCCCAAGATTGGGAAGGCTGGAGTGGGGCAGCAGCTGTCGCTCTATATCTGACAAGCGTTGTGTCCTTTCTTTAAGCCAGTGCATGTGGTCACTGGTGCTGGCTGGGACAGGTGGGGTCTGGGGCTCCTCCGGCTCCTGCCACATCTTCTCCCTCTGCTTCTGCCTGACCGGGGCTCTCAGAAAGCTCACCAGAAGCTTCGTGGGAGGAAGTAGGGAGAGGGGAGGAGGGAAAAGTGGGGGCTTGCAGGTGAGTGGGTGTGGGCATTGCCATTCTGCAAAGAAAACCCCAAACTGAGGGGAGGTGCCTGGGCTCTGTCCTTTGGCACAAACCCTGACCCTGTGCCCATATTGATCTCCTAGGAAGTTCATTCTCACAGCTTTAGCGTTTTGGGGTTCAGCTTCTGTAACCACAATATGAAGAGGTGGGGAGAGAGGGTCTCCAAAACCACTGCAGGATTTTTTAATTAAAATTTTAATTTTGAGATAATTGTAGATTCCATGCAGCTGAAAGAAATAAAGCAAACCCTATGCACCCTCTACCTGGTCTCCCCAATGACAACATCTGGCCAAACCCTAGCATGACACCAGGACCAGGGTGCCGACAGTGATGCTGTCAAGACACAGAGCACTTCAAAGACCTCTCGTGTCACCTGTCATAGCCGCGACACTTCCCTCCTGCTCTCCTGCTTCTGGCCCCTGACAACTGTGCACCGGTTCTCCACTCTGTCAATTTGTCATTCCAAGAATGTCGTATACATGGCATCCTGTGTATGTAACCTTTGGAGACTGGCTTTTTTCACTTGGCCCAAGATTCACCTAGTGTCACTGTGTTGTAGCTGGTTCCTTTTCCTTGCTGGGTAGGGTCCCATGGTGTGGGTGGGCCACAGCTCGTTCAGCCATTTCCCTGCTGGAGGACATCTGGGCTGACCCCAGCTTGGGGAAATGACCGACAAAGCTGCTAGGAATACGTGTCACAGACATTTGCGTGGCCTTCCCTGGGATAAATTCCCAGGAGTGCAGTTGCCAGGTCATTTTGTAGTTCCATGTTCAGTTTCTTAAGAAAACTACGAGAGGAGCCATATCATTTTCAGTCCCTACCTTCCAGCGTTTGTAACTTGGATGTCTGATAGAGGGGACGACAGCCAGCCTCCAGATGTGTTGGTGCTCAATGTGCCTCAAATGGCAAACAGCAGCCAGACAGCCCGGCCCCAAAGCAGGAGAGGTGACTGCACGGCCGTCCCGCTGTTTCCGGGGGGCCTGGGGCACCCCATCAAGTCAGGCCCACCCACCCTTCTTCACCAAGGACAGTGGGCAGCTTCTGTCCCTCCTGGGACCCACTGGCTGGACTGAGCACAGGTCATTTCAAAGCTAACGGGAGAATTTTCTGGAGAAGACGCTCCAGGCTTCCTGGCCTCACACAGGCTCTCAAACATGGCTGACCATCCAAACTACGCAGGTTAGTCGTGGAAATACCTTCTGGTGGCACATCCACTGTGAAACAACCCCCTCTCCCCCCCAACCCCCCACCAAGAGCCCAACTCACTTCTTTTCCCTAATATTTCCCCAAATCCCTTGTCTTCTCTTCTGCATGTCCCCTTCCCCCCATACAAGGAATGGGAGCTTGGGCCCCAGGAGGCCCAGGGAAGCAGTGGCTTGGCTGCTCAGGCCCAAGAAGCTCCATTGCAGAGCCCACCTGGCCTGTGGGCTCAGAACTCGTCCTGGGGGTCCACAGAGGAGGCACATTTCTGGACTGTGAGAGATAGTACTGGGGGACACAGAGCACTGGAGGAAGTGTTGACCCTGTGTCTCTGGACGGGCTGTGACCCAGGCAGGGGCACACGTGCTGAGCCCATCCATCCTTCCTGCACCCCGCTGCTCTGGGATGCAAAACGGCTGGGCTGAGCCTGGTGGCGGAGGGGTGATAGCCCCGGTCCTGTCTGTGGCCTGGCTCCAGCTGGGTTCTGGCAGCCCGCGTCCACTCCAGGGACCTAGGTGCACGGGAAGAATCTACTTATCTCCCGCTGCGCCCAGGGCGCACGGACCCGGGAGCTCCCAGGAGAAGTCCGCCAGTTTTGGGAGCCGGTGAGGACCTCCAGCTCTGGCTCCGGGGACCCAGCGAGTTCTGCTCTGAACTCTGGGGCCCGTGTAGCAGCTAGGCGCGGGGCGGGGCGGGCGGCAGCGGGTGGCTGTGCCCCCCCCCTCAGACCACCCAGCGCGCCGCTGCCTCCTCCCCGCTCCCTCGGCCTGTCAGAGGGTCACCGAGAGCCCTGCGCCGCTCCCCTCCTCCGCTTTAACGGTGGTGGGGCCTCCCCTGCGCCGGGATTGGATGCGAGAGAACGGGGTGGGGGCGGGTGGGGGACCCCAGAAGCCCAGGTTCCCAGCTTGGGCGGAGAGTATCCCGCAGCACGGACGCTGCTGGTCTGTGCCGGCGAGGACCTCTACACAGACCTGGAGAGCCGGCGGGCGGCGCGGAGGAGGCGGCAGCCTAGCGGTGGCCCCCGCAGGCACCGGGCGCGCCACGATGTTTGACAGCTCGCAGTATCCTTACAATTGCTTCAATTATGACACCGACTATCCGGCGGGCAGCTCCGACGAGGAAAAGCGTCTCACGCGGCCCGCATACAGGTGACCTCGGGTATCGGTGGCGGGCGCCGCTGGGAACAGTGACCTTCCTCCGCAGGGAGCTCGATAGCCAGGACCTGCCAGGGACGGAGGGAGGGCTTTCTTCTCTCGGTTGGGGCTCAGAGAAAGGATACTTTCGCCCACACGTTTAGAGGTAGCCGGAGAAGGTCCTCTCCCTGAAGGGAACCCCAAGGCTGAGGGAAAGCTTCAGGGGTCCGGAATGCAGCGGGGAAGAGGCCTCTGGGCGGGGGGTCACTTACCTAAACACACCCTGCGCGCTCTCCGCGTCCAACACCCCCGGGCGCCTCTGGAGGGAGCCCGTGCGCGCTAAGGGCCGGCCAGAGGGTCACTCCAGCGGGCTGTGGGCGCCCCCACCCCCAGCGCGGCCTGACGAGCCCTGTTTGCAGCTACATCGCGCTGATCGCTATGGCCATTCAGCAGAGCCCCGCAGGCAGGGTGACCCTGTCCGGCATCTACGACTTCATCATGGGCAAGTTCCCCTATTACCGTGCCAACCAGCGCGCCTGGCAGAACTCCATCCGCCACAACCTGTCCCTCAACAGCTGCTTCGTCAAGGTGAGACCCCCCCGCCCCTCAGCGCCCCGAGTGTCCCAGCCTCGGTGACACCTGGGCCAAGTCACCCCCGGTTGGGGAGGGGCGGGATCGGCAACAGCAGTAAACGGGGCTTCCTACGGGGCTTCCTACCCTCGCCGGGTGAGCAATGCCACCGCCCCAGGACAGGGACCCCACGGCCTCAGCGAGCCCAGTTGCGGCGGGGCACGCCGGGAGCCGGCCCCGATGCGCCCCTGTCGCTCGCACAGGTGCCCCGGACCGAGGGCCGCGAGAAAGGCAAAGGCAGTTACTGGACGTTCGCGGGCGGCTGCGAGTCCCTGCTGGACCTCTTCGAGAACGGCAACTACCGGCGGCGGCGCCGGCGGCGCGGCCCCAAGCGCGAGGGGCCGAGAGGGGCGAGTGCGGGCGGCGCCCAGGGGCCCCCGGCTCCGCCGGAGCCGGCCCGCGCCCAGGGGTCCCCGGCGCTCGGCCGCCAGCCACCTGCCCCTGCCGGCCCGGCTGCCCTGGGGACGGGGGCGCACAACGATGTCAAGTTCAGCATAGACTACATTCTCTCCTCCCCGCACCCCTTCCCTGAGCTCAGGTCACCCCCGCACCGGCAGGAGGCCCAGCAAACGAATCTCCACTTTTGGACAATGTGATAGGGGCTGAGGCTGTCTGCTCCCTGGTGGCTGGCACCCAACCAGCCTGGGTGTTCCTCGTGACATCGGCCTCACCTCCAGCCGGGCAGTGGGGTTTCGCCCACAGCTTGCCAACGTGTCTCCGCGTCTCCCACTCGGTGCCGGCACAGCCTGGGCTGGAGGGAGGGGAGCTGAGCTCCTTACAGGTACTCGTGAAGCTGGGGCTTCATCCTTCCGGAAAAAACAATGTTTTCTTGCAGGAAAACCCATTGGGTCCCTGTTTGACTTAAGGGTTTGCTCCCGAAATCCTGCCCGAGGAGTAAGAACACAGGTTCGGGGTCACTTTCACTCAGAAACAAGGTAACATTCCATGGCTGGTCTTTGAGAATTTGCTTCAGATACAGCCACACCCCGGAAGCTGACTGTGAGTGACAGTGTGACATAGGGGAGCATCTCCTTAGAGATAAAAGTAGTCAAAGTACAAACACTGAGGTCACAGACTAACTGACCCCTGAATGTTGTTGCCCCAAGATTTTTTATTGTGTCCCTGTGATGGTGCTGTGATTGGAAGTGACAAATGCATCTTGTATTGTGGGCAGAATATTGATGATTGTTTAAGAAATCCCATGCACTTTTTTATGAAGGAAGGAAGATAGGAAGGCAGGAGAAAAGGAGAGAGAAAGAGGGGTCCACATGGGGGACAACTTGGGGACAAAGCTCACTTTTCTTGATTCTTCTGAGAGGAGTAAGCCCCTATTCTGGCAGGTTGCACCCAGCTGGTCCCCCGAGAAAGCACATTCCGTAGCAGGTGGTAATAAGCACCCCGCCACTGCGAGGTGCACAATTGGAGGTGGTACACTCCATTTGAAATGTAAATTATTTAATTACTGTGTAGAGACCAGCATTTTAAAAACACAATTATGCACAGTGAAACTATTTGACCAATCTTATCATTTGTCACCAGCCCGTTTTTTTGCAGAGTTAATTGCTTCCATGACTTAATTGGAACATTAGTGTGGGTCACACATAATCTGATTCACTAGGTGACAATGATTGGCTAAGTCTGTAAACGGCAAAAACGCACTCAAGGAGGCTGCTGTCTCGACTGGGAATTGATGGTCTTGTTTCCTGGAACTCTGAGCGATGGCGGCTGAGCCAGACCCATCAGGCTCCACGACTGACTCAGAAAGCCTGGCATTCCACTACAACCAGCGTTCCCTCCTTCCCCTGTAAATACAGACTCCATGTGCTCCTTTGGTTGTTTGAGCAGAGGAAGAAGGCTGGTCCTTAGAATGTTGGTGATGGGCCCAGTCCCTGCCCGCCAGCGCCCGCAGCCTGGCCAGGCCCTGCCAGCCTCGCAGGAGGATGGCAGCCGTACCTCTGTCGGCCCTCCTGAAAGGGGACAAAGGTTGGTACAAGGAGGACACCTCTCCTTTGCAAATGCCAGCTGCCAGGCCTCTGCTGAGGTCACTGCCCGCCAGGCCTGGTGCTGAGCCTGACGTTAGCTGTCTGCATAGCTGCCCTGGGAGCTGGGTGTGGCTGTCATCCCTGTCTACAGGTGGGGACCTGCAGCACAGCAGGCCCAGGGTAAGGGCACGTGGCTTGGGGGACCGGCTCCTAACGCTTTCTCCATGCTGTGGTTTGTCCCAGCTCAGAAGGGTGTGTGCACACGTGTGTGTGTGTGTGTGTGTGTGTGTGTGTGTGCTTTCCTCTTATTTATATCCCTCTGTCAGTTGTGCTAGAGGCATTGTTTTAAACTATCCCAGATGTACTTTAGATGGAGAGATGATGCAGGGGGTGCTGCACATAAGTACACGGCACCTAGAGTCTCTGAAGGTATATTTTTCTGCTTCCAACTGAGCAAATAAAATTTGCATTTTATCTTTCGGGTTCTTGCTCTTTTCCTGCATTTAACTGGTGAGTGAGGCCTGAGCAAGAGCAGAAAAACCCTCTGCCCCAAAGAGACCATCTCTAGGGGCCCCAGCATTGGCAAGGGGGGTGGCCTTGGCAGGAGCCCGGCTTTGACTGGCACATCCTGCTGCGTAGACGCCCCCTGGGCTGCGGGGAGCAGAGTGGTGGCACCAGCGGTGAGATCTGTGCACTACAAGGTGTAACATTTGTATTGCAAAGGATATCAATCATGTTTTTAAAAGCGAAGGGACATTTTCAATTTGCCAGTGTGTGATACCCTGCGACGTCGGAAGGGCTCCCAGCTCTCAGAGTGAGTGGCATTTAATGCCGAACAGCACAGCAGGGTGAGGGCTGGCTCTGACCTACTCAAATGTCGCCACCACACGCAGACTCACCCGGCGTAATTATAATTAAATACTTTATGCCTCCCTTGCATTCTGCTGATTGATCACCGATATGCACATTACCACATTACCCCGAGCAGATGTCTGCCACACGCGGTTATGGATCACCAGGTTTCCATTAACAAAGTTGGAGGCGGGAGTTAGGGGAGTTTGTGCAAATTACCGCCGTGTGGAGCCAAGTTCCCCAGCTTGGCCGTGTCTGGGCCTGACACCCTTCTCGCAAGCCACCCGGAGACTGCGGTGCCTCCTCACAGAGCTGACGGGCACCAGGGGTCTCCTAGAGTGGGAGGCTGCAGGAGTGAGGGACTGGCCCTGATTGTCCGTGAGGGGTGGGGAACCCACCACAGTTAGCCTCCCCACAGGCCAGGGAGAGGGACGCCCAATGGACGGACAGCAGCCTGGGAGGCTCTGGGAGTGCAAACCGGCCTCAGATGGCACCCTCCTGCCCGGACTGTGGGTCCCCCAGGGAGGCAGACAGTGCCCACAGTCGGACCCTTTCCTCTACACCAAGCTGCCATCCTTGGTCCCTGGTCATCTCCCCCCTCCCCCACTTGGGGCAGCAAAAAGAAAGGCCTCATTTCTCTTCAAATTCTTTCCTCCCTGTGTTGAGCAGATCCGGAGACTGTTTATTCAATCAACAAACATTCGTGAACCCCATGCTCGGTGCTGAGGTGTAATAACGAACCAGAGCCACCGACTGGGTTCCATCCACTGAGTGTGTGCAGTTTCACACCCGATGCAGTTGGGAGGCCAGGCCTGCACAGGGTGTTGAGATGGGGGTGACTCGGGGTGGGGGCAACAACTAGCTCAGAGTGTGTGCGGGCAGGGCCCTCCCAGGGTGGGCATGGGCAGCTGTGCCAAGAGGAAAGGGCATCAGGTGGTGGGGGCAGCGAGTGGAAACCAGTGGTGGAAAGGAGCCGGCTGGGGGCTTGCAGAAGAGATGGGAAGACAGGTGTGCTGGGGGTGCAGGAAGGGAGAAAGGCAGGGCGAGCCCCCAGGCTGCTCTCCTAGTCCCCAAGTCCAGGCCAGACATCCCATTTCTTGGGCCTTTGAAATGCACCTCCTGCATTTGTGTTCGTTCTCTCTCTCTCTCTCTCTCTCTCTCTCCTTTCTTGATATATGGAACTCTTGCAGAACAATCACCTCCCATGTTCTGGGCACTTTACCTTGGTTACTGTGGCCTCCATGCCGGCTGTCTTACTTGAGCACACACTCCTGCTCGTCCCCAAGCCTTTCTCCCCGACCTGTCCCATCCTATGCTCGTGAAACTGAGCTCAGGGACCCAAGACGCAGATACAGGTGCTGAGGGTGGGGTGGGCTGCCCAGTGCCATCTCCCCAGAGCTGCGGTCCTCCACAGGGCCCCACCACAATATCACAACATGGCTGCTTTTCACAGGATCACTCCCCGCCGCCTCCTGCCAGCTCCCCAGCCCTGTGAGCAGGCACGCGGCGCACACATAGCTCCATTTCACAGATGGGGACACAGAGGCTCAAAGAGCCTTCACAGAGCTTTCCAGCAGAGGCAGGTCTGCCCCGTCTAGGCGCCCTGCTAGCCTGGCAGTTAACTGTAATCCGACCCCAAGGCCCCTCTGCCCACTAGCTGAGGCCACCATTCCACACCTGAATGTCAGGGACCCCGAATCCGGGAATAGGATGAGAGGATGAGGGCGTGGACGCCTCCAACCCCGCTGGTCGCCCCTGCCCCACAGGGATCAGGCGGCAAGGCAATTCCTTCCTTTATGAGGGGCCAGGAAAGGGAAAGTGCAAACACAGTCTGTTACCTGTAATTTGATTTTGTATTCTGCCAAATTAAGAATCCATACACATTTGAAAAATTACATGTTTTCATCTCTTTAAAAATACCAACTGCGTCGTATGTAAATGGGCCTCGCCCACCGCTTGCTGCTCTGGAGAAACCGGCTTCTCAGAACCGGAACCGAAGGCGCAGCTTGCTGGGCCACGCTGCCGTCCTTACAAATTAACCGCCCTCCTGTGCGTCTGTGCAATTACATTCCTGCCAGCTCTAGGCGACTTCAGGCCCAGCGTCCGGATAAGATGTGAGTTCACTCAACTGAGACTTGTGGTATGAGATTCATAATAAGCGGAGGCCACGCGGCTATGCCATTTTTAAAAAGAAAAGGAAATTGGGTGGGAACATTTGAACTTGATGCAACTTCCCTCTGAACTCCATGTCGAATGCTGGCACCAGCTGATAGGACCGCGCCACGAGGACGCTGCCCACACGAGACGGCGACCCTCCTGCGCCTCACCTGGGAGGGTCACTGGGCCCTCACCGCGCCACGGGCCACCCCCGTGTCATCTGTCAGCTGTTACATAAACACTGCTCAGCACGCTCACCCATGGGCCCCGTGGGGCCGCGAGCGCCTTCCATGCCCACCCCACTCCTCCACACCCCTCCACGCACCTGCGCCATCCAGGCCCCAATGCCACCCACGCCCCGCCCATCCATGCCTTCCACTCCCCCCGGCGCTAGACCTCAGCACGATGCTAGTTCTCAACCAGCCGCCTCACCCTCCAAACGTGCTCAGCTCCTGGGCTCAGGACTCAGAGCTGGAAACGCGAGTTCTGCTTCAAAAGCCAGCGGGTCATTCGTTCCCGAGTCGGGACAAGGAGAGCGCGTTCAGACCACTTGCCCTTAGAACATTCATGGGGGTGCGCTGGGGTCCAGCTCGCCTGGGGTCCCATCTCCATTCCTGCGGTTAGCTGTTCAATATTTGTGTCGGCCCCTTAGAATGCACGCGTGGCGCGCTCCAGGCGGTGCGTCCTGCGCCACCCGGAAGGTGCTCAGCAAACGCGGAGGAACTTGGTGAGGGTCAGCGGCTGGGAAGGCCCGGCTCCAGGCAACGCTTCCAGGGAAAGACACTTCCAGTAACAGGAATCCTGGGTGATGGCGACCGGAGCAAATAAGGCAA